GGAGGGGTCGGGGGTCCCGCCGGCGGTGCCCCCCCGCGGGGGGAGGGGCTGGCTCTATCCTATCGCTAAACAAAGCAATAAATTAACGGGGATCCCGAGGGGACGCCGAGAAACGGGGGGCGAGGGGAGGTCGGGCCACGGAGGGGGTGTCAGGGCACGGAAAGTGGGGAGGGGGCGTACAAAAGGTTGTTGTAGAAAAGGAGGGGCGTCGGGGTCTGCTCTGCTCCTGCCACGGAGCCGGGGCTGTGCCAGGGCGCGGTGGGCACGGCCGGGGGGCACACGGGGACAGGGACACGGGGGAGGGACAGAGGGGGTGGCAGGAGGAGGGGGATCTGGGGAGGTGACATGGGGAGGGGGACACAGCACGGGGGAACGGGGACGGGGGTAGGACAGGGTGATGTGAGCAGGGGACAATGGACAGGGTGACATGGGCAGGGGTGACAGGGACAGGGGCACGGGCAGGGGTTACCCCCTTTTCAGTACCCCGAGCCCAGCCGTGCCCACCCCACGCTGGGGCACATTATCCCGAGCAGGGAACGGGAAGGGGACCTGGCAGTGGCATCACTGTGACCCCTGGCATGGGGGTCCCTGGCACGGAGAGGGGCACAGGACCAGCGGAGACCCCGACATGGAAAGGATAATAAATAGAGCATCAAAAGTACAAACCGTGGGCAGGGGGTGACCCCGGGGGTGGCACCGGGATGACCCCGGGCCGCGGGCACGAGCATTGGGGGGGCTCCGGGCCCCTCAGGGCTATACGAGGGCGGACCGGGGCTCGCAGGGGCCCATGCTGGCGCAGCTGCTGCGGCGGCGGGGCCCGGGGGTCGGGGGGCCGCCGGGGGTCGGAGGGCCGGGGGTCGGGGGGCTGCCCGGGGTCGAGGGGCTGCCGGGCCCCTCGCCGGGGCAGCCGTGCTGCAGAAGGATGTCGGCGCACTCGCGGCTGCCGGCGCGGCGGGCGTAGAACAGCGCGGTGCGACCGTGCCCGTCCCGTGCCCGCACATCGGCCCCGTACTGCGGACACAGCCACGCGTCACCCGCTGGCCGTGGCATGGCCCCAAAGGCCACCGTGTGTCCCCCAGGGATGGGTCATACCCCCCGTGGGCCTGGCGTGTCCCCCCGGGGTGTCTTGGCACCGCGTTCCTCCCACGGCCACCCCAGGATTCCCACTTTACATCCCCCATGGTCATGCCATTGTCCCCAGGACTGCTCCATATCCCCCGTGACCACACCGTGTCCCCCATGACCGGGTCATCTGTCCTCTGGCCACCCCACAGTCCCCAAGACCACCCCGCATCCCCCACGGCAGCACCACATGGCCCTCAGCCACGTCATGGTCCCCACAACCCCAAGAACTTCCCCCTGGCTGTGCCATGATCCCTAAGCCCACTCCATGTGTCCCATGAATACCTCACACCCCCCCAGACCACCCCATACCCCCCCATAACCACACCATGTCCCCAGAAGCCACCCCACGGTCCCCATGGCCACGTCACTTGCCTCCTGGCCATGCCACAGTCCCCGAGACCACACTACATCCCCCACACCCATGTCATGGTCCCCACAACCGTGTCACCTCCCTCGAGGCCATGCCACAGTACCCCCTGCCCCACGTACCCACACCAGCAGTTGGGTGACGACCACCTGGGCGGTGTCGCAGGCCAGGTGCAGCGCCGTGCGCCGGTCCGTGTCCGCCATGGCCACGTTGAGCTGCTCCTTGTGGCTGTGGGCCAGGAGCAGCAGCACCGTGGGCAGGTCCTGCTCGCGCACGGCCCCCAGCAGCCGCTCGGCCAGCGGCGCCTCGGCCGCGGGCAGCGGCGCCAGGAACAGCCGCTGCTCGTACTTGGCACGAATCCACGATTCCCTCTCCTCCCTGGGCACAGAGGCACGGGGACACAGGGGACACGGGGTGTCAGGGTGGCACCTCGGGGACACAGATCCACAATTCTTGCTCCTCCCTGGGCGTGGGGCACTGCCACGGTGGGAGGACACAGGGGTGGCAGGGACAAAGAGTAGCAGCTGGCGGGGCGGCCGAGGGGACACAAAGGTGTCTGGGGTACATAGAGGCATCTCAGAGACAAGGAGAGTGAAAACAGGGCGGACACGTGAGGGTCAGGGACACCAAGTGGCAGCAGGGTGGCACGGGAGGTGGGGACACAGGACTGTCAGGAAGGACAGTGTGGCACTGCTGGATGGTGAGGTCACAAGGCACCAGGGACAGGGAGTGGGGACACGGGGACGTTGGGGACAGGGGGTGCCACCGCAATGACGGGGAGATAAAAGGCATCAGAGTCCGTGGGATGGCACAGCGGTGACGTGCAGGGTGGGGACACGGCATCAGGGTTGGCAGGGTGGCATCAGGGTGGCACAGAGGGCAGGGACATGTGGTGGTATCAGGGACATGGGGTGACACCGGGGGGACACAGGGGCGGGGCGGGGCGGGGGCGCACCCACCGGGAGGACTCGTGGGTGGGCTTGCAGCGGCCGCGCGGGTTCTGCTCCCAGATGCTGTTGGCGGTGGCGTTGCCGATGGCCGTGAGCACCAGGGTCAGCTCCCGTGGCCAATCGTCCAGGTCCAGCGAGCGCACGCGCGACACGTGCGTGCCCAGGTTGCGGTGGATGCCCGAGCACTCGATGCAGATCAGGGCGCCCAGGTTCAGGCTGGCCCACGTGGGGTCTGCGGGGTGAGGGGGATTGGGGTGGGTGAGCTGGGGCACCCCTGGGCTCGGGACACCCCACGGTGCAGGACACAGTGGGACCCGTGGTATGGCACGGTGTGGCTCACGGCACCATGTGGCATTGTGTCACCCACGGCATCATGTCACCCATGGCATTGTGTCACCCATGGAATTGTGTCACCCACGGCATTGTGTCACCCACAGCATCATGTCACCCATGGCACTGTGTCACCCGTGGCACTGTGTCACCCATGGCATTGTGTCACCCATGGCACTGTGTCACCTGTGGCATTGTGTCACCCGTGACATCGTGTCACCCACAGCATCGTGTCACCCATGGCACTGTGTCACCTGTGGCATTGTGTCACCCGTGACATCGTGTCACCCACAGCATCGTGTCACCCATGGCACTGTGTCACCTGTGGCATTGTGTCACCCATGACATCGTGTCACCCATGGCAAAGTGTCACCCATGACATAGTGACAACCATGGAATTGTGTCACCCATGGCATCGTGTCACCCGTGACATTGTGTCACCCATGGCATCGTGTGGCTCTGGCACGGTATGACCCATGGCACCATGTGGCCTGTGCCATCCATTGTGTGGCACCATGTGGCATATGGCAGCACATGGCTCAGGACATCGTGTCACCCGTCACACGTGGCATCACGTGGCCCGCAGTCCTCCCTCGCCCTGGTTGCCAGGTGGCCCATGGCCCGTGGCACAATCTTACCCTGTGGCACCATCCCCTGGATTCTGGGCTCTGCCGGGCCCGTGGCACCGCTGCCCCATGAACCAATGTCCCCCCATGTCCCCCCGTTGTCCCCGGTGCCCCTGGGGACTCACTGGGTGCCCCGCAGTCCACGCAGAGCGAGTTCCCACGGGCGTTGCGGATGGCCTGGATGGCCACAGCCTCGCTCTGGCTGTCCATGCGCGCCTGGAGGGACACGGGGGTGAGTGGGGCAGGGGGTGACACGGGGACCCTGCCAGCCCCCCACCAAGCTCCCACCTTGTTCTTGCTGCTCTCGCAGCACTGCAGGCTGGCCAGGATCTGGCTCTCGATGGCCTGAACCCACGCGTCGCGCTCCTCGAAGCTGCCGGCCTCGAAGTGCCACGTCTGCCCCGTGCTTGACACGATCAGAAACTCAAAGTTCTCCTCCTCTGCGGGACCAGAGACCCCCGGGGGGGGGGTGGGATGGGAGATCCTACACCCACGGGGGGCTGGACTGGCCCAGTGCCCACTCCAGTCCCCTACATCCACCCCTGGCACCCAAATTCTGCCAAGCCCCCTCCCCGGTGGTGCCCACCCCTCCTGGGGTGTGTGCTAGCAGCAGGCAAGGGGGGCACAGCCACATGCACGGGAGGCACCGCTCACGCCACGTTACCTGTTTTATAAATATTTCTTAAACTACCAAAACTTTTTAATTTCCACATTTTGCGCTTGGCTGCGGAGGGTCCGGGCAGCAGGAGTAGAGAGAGGAAACGGGGACAGAGTCAGGGGGGCCCGCGAAGCCCTGGGGATGGTGCAGAAGGTGGCAGGCAGTGGCAGAGCGAGGGGGATGCGTGGACAGCATGGCTGAGCATGGACAGGGGGTGAGGTGCAACATCACCCCAAATCCCCCCGAATTCTGGGGTGTCATTGCTGTGGAGGATGGTGGCCTTGTCCCCACAGCGTTGTGGGTGACTGGGGCTGGGGACACATCGCCGTGGCACCCACCTTCTGCCTGCCCACCCGAGCTCTCGGTCTTGGACGGCGTCATCAGCTTCTTCCGCCGGTGCTTCTTCCTGTCCACCAGCGGCGACGGCGGAGGGTCCCTGCCCGCGCTGCCGGGGCTGGACACGGCCTCGAAGGACAACGGGGACTCTGCCAAGAGACCACACATGGGGCACTGGGGGCACCATGGGCAGCAGGGTCTCTGGGGTCACCAGGCTCGTGGGGACCAGGGAGCTCACCAGGACCATTGAGGCCACCAGGGTCACCAAGTCAGAACCACTCAGGTCAGCAAGGGCTACCAGGGTCACCGAGTCCACTGGGCTCAGCAGTATCACTTGGGCCACCAGGGCCACTGGACTCACTGGGGTCACCAGGGTCACAAGTCCACCAGGGGCCCTGGGCACACTGGGGTCACCAGAGCTCACCAGGGTCACTGATCTCATCGGGATCACCAGGATCACCACCCCCAAGACCACCAAGTTCATTGATGTTACCAAAATCCCTGGGGCCACCAGAGTCACAAGAGCCTCTTGGCTCACCACAGTCATGAGGGTCACCAGGGCCACTGGGCTCACCGGGCTCACCAGGTTCATTGTGGCTTCTGGGACTCCCAGGTCCACATGCTCGCCAGGGCCAGCAGTTTCACTGTGGCCACCAGCACCACCAAAGGACCACATGGTTCCTGGGCTCACCAAAGCCACCAGGGTTATTGTCACTAGGGCCACCAAGGGCCACCAGGTCCCTGAGCTGCTCAGAAGTCACCGTGCTCAGCGGGGCCCCACCATGGGGCAGTCCCTGTCAGTGCCCTGGGAGGTGGCCACGTCCCTGTTTGTGCTGGTGCCACTCACCTGAGGCGAGCTTGGCGCCGGAGGCAGAGGCGCAGCGCTGCAGTGACCCCTTGCCCACCACCTTCAGCCCTGGCTCGGGGGGCAGGCTCAGCCCCACGGAGTGGACACCGGCTGTGAGGAGGGGAAGGGACGGTGTCACACCGGTCCCCGTGGTGTCCCCCCCATGCCCGGTGTCCCCTGGGCACTCACCGCCCGGCTCGGGCTCCCGCAGCAGCCCGTTGATGCTGGCTGAGGGGCCGCAGGCAGAGATGGCGCGTGGCGGGCGCTTCCCGGGCACCTTGACCGTGGTGCGCAGCAGGTCCATCTCCTTCCCGTGGGTGCTGTGGATGTAGTCCTGGGGGGACAGCGGGGGTGACGCTGGGCCCTGCCACAATTTGGGGACGGCAGAGGCACGGGGACACTCACGTTGATGCTGGGGTGGTAGAAGAGGAGGCCGTTGCTGGACAGGGTCACGTATTTCTTCTTCCACTCCTTGTTCAGGGAGTTGCCGCTGCGCTTCAGCAGGAAGCTCTGGGGACAGGGAACAGTGAGGGGACAGAGGGGACACTGGGACCCACCCGTGTCCTCCTGCCACCGCCACCACCCACCTGCTTGATGGGGATGGCACGGCCACTGCCGGCCACCTCGCCTCGGCTGTCCAGGCTGCGCTTCTCAGAGTCGCTGCCGCGGCGCGTCTGCGGGAACGGGGACAGGGACAGGGGTGGGACCCGTGCCATAGCTGGGGACACTGGGGGCCCACACGTCCCCCACTGCTGGAGCCTGGTGGTGGGGACATTGAGGTGCTACAGACCCCACCAGACCAGGGTGTGGGAACACCCTGGGTGCCCACGTGTCCCTCAGTGCCACCACCACCAATCAAGGGGATAACTGAGATGCCGCGTGCCCCTCAACGTCACCACCCTGCCAGGGGACACCTTGGGTGCCGTATGTCCCTTGCTGCCACCACCCTATCAGGGTGACATTCTGGGTAACAACGTCAAAGGGACGCCCTGGATGTCACAACCCCTGTGTCACCACCACCATGCCAGGGGAAGAGCCAGGTTGCCACGTGTCCCCCCAGTGCCACCCCCTGGCAGGGGCCGCGGGCACTCACGGCGAAGAGGCTGGTGCGGCGCTTGGCCCCGCGGTGCAGAGAGCTGGGGGTCCCCAGCGGGGCCGGGGTCTCGCTGCGCAGCTCCCGGTGGCTCACGTTGGGGGTGGATGGCAGTGAGGACGAGTAGTCGCTGGTGTGGCCACCGTTGCTGGTCTGGGGGGACACGGGGTCAGCCTGGGCTGTGGCCGGGGGCCTGGGGCGGGGGGCCGGGGGTTACCTGGCCGGGGTGGACGCCTCCCACGGGGGTGGAGGCGGCGGAATGGCTCGGGGAGCTGGGCAGGGACTTGCAGGATGCCATCAGCTGCTGCTGCTTCTTCAGTGCCACGGCCTTCTGGGCCACTGCAGGAACCCTGAGTCAGGAGGGCCAGACCCCCAGACTGCCCAGCCACCAGCCTGGACAACCCTAACCCACACCTGGACATGGTCCCCATCATCATCCCACCCGGACACTGTCCCCATCCCACCCGGACACTGTCCCCACCCCACATGGACATGGTCCTCATCCCACCTGGATGTGGCCCCCATCCCACATGGGGTGGACGTGGTCCTTGATCTACCCAGCCATGGGCCTGGCACACCTGGACATGGTTCCCTGTGCTGCCCGGTCCACTGTCCTCATCCCACCTGGACACAGTCCCTGTCTCACCCAGACACGGCCCTGTGCCATCCGGCCCCCATTCTCCTCGACCCAGATGTGATCCCATGCTGGCCACCATCCCTGTCTGACCAGGTCACAGCCCCCTCCCACCATGCCCATTCCACCTGGCCACTGACCCTATCCCACCTGGCCACCGTCCCCATCACACACTGGTCACCATCCCTGTAGCACCATGTCACCAGCCCCCTCCCACCCTCTCCCCACCCCCCAGGGCATGGTCACCCACCTTCAGTGAAGACCCGGTCCACGTTGAGGCCGTACGTGGCACAGGTCTCGTAGTAGAGGCAGCGCCGCATGTCCCCGCAGAGCGCCCGGGCGCGCGCGTCCTCCACGGCTCGCGGGCTGGACGAGCTGATCTTGTCTGGGGAGCCAGGGGGTGAGCCGGGGGTTCCCCGTGCTGCTCCCAGCCCCACAGGATCCCCCCGTGTCCCTGGCTCACCCTGGGTGCCCACCAGCGCCAGGGCCACGTCGCTGGTGCCGCGGAGGTCGCTGAGCAGCGCGTGCAGCTGCGTCACCTCCTCGAAGCTGCTCTCGTTCTCCAGGCTAAAGACGAAGATGACGGCGTCCGCCCAGCTGGCAAACTGGGGGGCCACGGGCGGGGGTCAGGGCTCGGCTCTGGCCAACGTGGCCCCCCCGGCCCCCGGTCCCCTCGTACCTGCGCGTCCGGGGCGCCAGCCTCCTCCCGGATGAGCAGGAGGTGGCTCTGGCCATCAACCGTCACCTCACGCTTGAACTGTCCACCTGGGGAGGGGAGGGGAAGGGAGGGCAGGGGAGGGGACACCTGCGGGAATGCTCCGTCCACATGGATGCCCAGCCATGACCAGCACCATGTGTGACCAGCACTTTGACCCCAAATGTCCCACAGCCATGACCAGCACTGTGACCTTGTCCATTCCATCACCGTGTCCATCCCCTGGTCATGCCCAGCCCCGTGAGACGTCCATCCCTGTCCTCTCCTCCATCTCCATCCCCATGGCCACTCCATCACTGAACCCGTCCCCGTGCCATGCCCAAGGTCACGTCCATCCCAAGGTCACGTCCATCCCATGGTCACGTCCATCCCATGTCCACTCACTCTCGGTGGGCTCCAGGCCCACATAGGAACCGGTGAGGAACCGGTGGACGAGCGCCGACTTCCCACTCTTGCTGCTGCCCAGGACCCCCTGGGTGGGCAAAGGGGATGTCAGGATGGCTGAGGACACAGGGACACGGGGACACAGGGACACGGGGACACAGGGACACGGGGACATGGGGACATGGGGATAAGGGGACACGGGGACACAGGGACACGGGGACACAGGGACACGGGGATACAGGGATACAGGGACACAGGGACACGGGGATAGGGACACACGGACATGGCACCCACCAGGCGGATCTCAGGGATGGAGCGGCCCAGGGTCCACTCCTGGCTGTTCACCAAGGCCTCTGTGGAGGGAGATGGGTGAGACAGAGCCCGGGATCCCCAGGAACCCCAGGCAACCCCCAGCAGCCCTGGCACCCCCAGCAGCCCCTGACACCCCAATTCCCAGGGGGCCCCCACCCCGCAGCGCAGCAGCAGCTTCCTGCGTGGGCGGCCACCAGCTGTCACCCAGCAACGGCACCGGGCCCGCGGGGGCGGCGGCAGGACGTGGAGATGCCACGTGGCAGGGACGGGGACGTGGCAGCACGAGGCGTCGTGTGCCAAGGCACGAGGACAGGGAGGGCATGGGGACACAGCTGTGGGAGAACCCAGCGTGGCACAGGGACGCGATGGGAACCATGACGGGCACCAGGACACTGTGTGGCACGAGGACACCGTGGCACAAGGACACCGTGGCACAAGGACACCGTGGCACAAGGACACTGTGGCATGAGGACACCGTGGATTCCAGGACATGACAGCCATGAGGCCACAGTGCGGCACCAGGACGTGGCGTGGCATGGGGACACAGGGGGAACCATGGGGCCATGACAAGCACTGGGACACAGTGGCACAGGGATGTGGCACAGGACACAGCATGGCAGGAGGGTGTGGGGTGGCAGGAGGACACTGTGGATTCCAGCACACGATGGACACGAGGACACGGTGCCAGAGGTGCATGACAACCTCAGGCCTGGGGATGCAGCACGGTGCGAGCACGAGGTGTGGCGAGGGACACGACGGACACCAGGACACGGCGTGGCAGTGTGGCACCAGGACACGGCGTGGCACGAGGACAAGGCATGGCATGAGGACACGGTGTGGCACAAGGACAGGACATGACACGAGGACAGGACATGACACGAGGACAGGACATGGCACGAGGACACGGCGCAGCACACGACTGGCACAAGGCTGCGATGGCACCAGAACGCAGCGAGCAGCGGCGTGTGGCACACGGACACGATGTGACACAAGCACCTGGCGTGGTACAAGGACGTGCCCTGTGCCCCCCACGTGTCCCACTTGGTGTCCCCAGCCCCTGTGGGCAGTGGTGGCACCACGAAGGGGGCACCTGAGGCAGGACACAGCGGGTTCCCCCCTTTCTGTGCCTGTTCTGCCACCAACACGGAGCCGGGTCGGTGCCAGCCGGGGAGAGGGTTAACTGCTGCCTGTCACCCCTCGCACTGTCACCGAGCTGCCACCCCCGGGCCCTGCAGGTGCTGCCCACGCTCCCCATGGTGCCACGGCGCGTGCAGGCAGACAGAGGGACGCCAGGGGGGACAGAAGGACATGGGGAAATGGTGGGGTGGCTGGACAGATGGGGACAGGATGCTCGGGTGTGACGCACAGATGGAGGCGACGATAGACGGGCGGATGGCGGGACAGAACAACGGAGGTGGGGGTCGCACCCGACCCCCACGGAGTTCCCCCAGTGGGGAAATCGAGGCACAGGATCCCCACCACGGCCAGCACCGGGCCCTGCCAAACCAGACACCCCACATCGCCCCAAGGCACAAAAACATGGGACAGCCCAGCCCGGGGGGCACAGCCCCCCTGTTCCCCAGCCCCCCGACAGCCACGGGGAGCAGATGGGTCCTCCTGCCCCGCACAGGACCCGGGGGTCTGGGCGCCTCCTCCTCCCACCAGGGAAACTGAGGCACAGCACCATGGCCACAGTGGGCACCGGTACACCTGCCCCAGGTCACCGCGGGGAGTGGGGACACCGAGGCACGGCCGGGGCGACTCCCGGGTTCCCCGGGCCGGTACTCACTGTGGGGGGTGGCCCTGGCCGGGTCGGCGCCGGGGGGAGACCAGGGGGGCGCGGGGTGGGTGGGGGTCGCCGCAGGGCTCTTGGTGAAGATGCCGCTGATGAACTTGAGCATCTTTCGGTCGCGGGTGGAGGCGCGACCCCCCTCGCGTCCCCGCTTCAGCCCCGTCTCGGGGGCAGGGGCGGGGACCAGAGCCCCCGGCCCCGGCTGCAGGTCGCTGTAGTCCAGGGTCTTGCTCTTGCCCTTGCTTGGGGACAGCCGGGCCCGGGGGGGCCCCTCGGTCTTGCCCCCCGCCTTGGGGCGCCCCTTCCCCTCTCCCTCGGGCCACGAGAGGCGGCTGCCGGCAGGTTTGGTGGGGGTCTTGCCCGCTCGGGGGTCGGGGGTCCCGCGGGTCCCACCGCCGCTCCCCGCTTTGGGGGGCTTGGGACCGGCCAGGCGGAGGCGGCGGGCGCCGGCGGAGGGGTGCGGGGAGGCTGTGGGGGGGTCCAGGGGCGGCGGGGGGGCTCTGCCTCCCTCTGGGGGGCCCTCGGGGCCCCCCCAGGTGGCCTGGCTGAGCAGCGGGCGGCGGGGGGTCGCGGCGGGCTGGGGGATGTCCAGGGCGGCCAGACCCCGCTCCCCCGGCCCCTCCAAGGTGCCCTTGGCCCCTCGGGGGTCGGGTTTGGTGGGCAAGGCCGGGAGCGGGGGGGGCAGCAGCGCCGGGTCGGGTTTGGGGGGCACGGCGGGGGGGGGGGGGGGGCACCGCG